CTTCGTGTTGAGCGATATTATATTCCTTTCCTTTAAATGACTGGCATCGTAGTCAGACATTTTTCGAACCAAAACGACTAGATCTTCAGCTGTCTGCAAATCGTTTACACATTATTAATGCACGTGTTTCTAACAACAGTAGAACAGGACTTTACACTTGATAATCGATCAATTAACATAGTGTTCATATTTGTCCTTCGTGTCCATTTCCGAGAAGTTGCGTGGACAAATATGCGGATTTTCGACAGAAAGCCTCGTCCACAACCGAGGACGTCTAAGAGCTTAACTGTTGCCTTGTGTCTCCGAACTCTGTTACTGACGTTTACTGATTTCATTTGATCAGAGAAAAAAAGATAATTAGTAATCATATTTGGAAGCATGAAAGTACGCAAATTAAATTGATGACGTAAGATTTTTAAAATGTGTTAGCAGTCGGCTTTGGAAAACCTCTTATGATAAACAAAAACTAAACCCAAGCGTCTTCGTCATATCAACTTGTTACTGTGTTCAATATATTGTTTAATTAATATGGTCGACTGTATTATCATGTGTGATATAATAGCCGAAAGGTCGTTCACACTAGAGTCAACTTGAAACATAATACTTATAATGCATTCGAAATCTTATGCTACCAGCTTCAAATATCGATCATCAGTTTGCCAGAATATCATGTTTATAATACTTGTAGTTGTTGAAAACTTTCAATACTAGATGTAGGCGCACCACATGTACGTCTAGTGGCACGATATCTAACTGTAGTTAGATTGAATAAATGATCGTTATTGAGTGGTTGCTGTTGAAATATACATCCTTACTACCCTCATATATAATCATCGACTTAAACCGCGTTGGTGAATAACGGAATTAAATAAGAAAAATCCTAGGACGGATTATTGAATACGTATATTTCGTACAACCGTTGATCGGTAATGGGAGCAAAACAAGATGAAGCGCGATGGAGAAGGCATGTCAGCTAACTTAGTTTAACCAAGCGTGAATCGATATTTTTAATCAGACAAAAGTAAGTTACAGGCACTTGATGAGTAGAATAAGAAGTGCACACGCATACGCTTGCATGAAAACAGTCGAGGTTGATAAGCGAATAATTGACAAGGCCAAGATATAGCTCTACAAGAATGAACAGATTGATCTGTCCAGAGGCTGGAATAACCTATGCGGGTTTGACACAGTACCAGCCTCTGCATACTCACTTAGCCGTCGGTTCACATTTCTCTTGTCCTCTCTTCTTACAGACTCTTTCACACACTGCTCTCCGCACTCCTCCAGGTCCCAACTTACTTTTAAGCTGGAAGTAAAACTAGCAAAGACTGAACATTACATACTTAGCGCAAATATGTCCAGAAACTAGCAATTCAGGGGGAAACTTCTGCAATTAGTCCACGTTAAGGAGCAAAATAGGTAATCCATCTTTATTCACATTTTGTTTCCATTTTTTCCCTCAGGTTCGCTCTTGTATCCCTCCTCTCATTTGCTTTGGAAATAGACGTTAATCATTTAGCATTGCTAGGTATGACAGTTATGAGGTCCTTATTCAGTTCCGTATGTTGTTGGATAGACATATCCAACTCACGTGATGATTTGTTTCAATAAACGTCAACTTCTCCTAGCTGTGTAACTACCGTATGCCGCTCTCATTGCTCGTCATCGACCCACTCACTCCTTCATCAACTGCCATCTCAACACTAGCCTTTCTTGGCGCTTGTTTTAACTGGTACGGTTAGCAAATTACTGTCAACGGTTTGTGTTCCTGTTGAAATAAGATCCATGCAAGTTAAACTTACATTTGTCACGATGATTAATCCAGTCATACCTATACTTCCTTCTCCAAGTAGCGGGGAATCGCGTTGTCATTAAGCACAGCCGAAGAACTGCTTGACAGACTGTAGGGATGGCCCCCGTTGAACTTAAGGAGGCCCTGAGAAGCTCGGAAAGAGCCGAGGACATCCCATTCAATCATCTTTTGGAGGAACATTTCAGGATCCCGACGTGTTGCTGTACGATTGGGCAGATGCTAAAGCTAATGCATGATGATTGGATGACTGTCATTTCATTTCTAATAAAAATTATAAATACCTGAACGTTTTGCACCATATTTGACACTGACTGGTATAAGATTCGTTCCCAGTAGTCTTCTGTCTCCTAACTTGCTACTTGAAGGGTTCAAGTGTTCGAGTGCTCAAGTTGTACATGGTGTAGCGAGAATCTAAGTTCTAAATATAACAACTGGCAAATTAAATTCGGAGTTAGAATACTCGTGAACTGCAAGTATAAAAAGTTTAAAAACAGTTGTGGAAAGGATCACTGTAGCATGGAAAAATAAACTAAATACGTATATGAGTAAAGAGTAATAATATATCACTGTACAAGGAGTCCGATTAATATGAAATGATGTTAGTGCTGAAAGATCCATGGGGGAATAAAGTGCAAGACAACAAAGTGTAATCTTCAGCTGATAAAAATATATGTGATAAGTCGGTGAACAAGTAAGGAGTAAAAAATGTGGTGTAGAAAAACGTGTTCTTGCACTTTCCTAACTTACCAATCTGAATAATGACAGAAATGTGATTCTACGTAATCTTGTTTGGCTCTTGGTTTTATACCTTATAAAATTCGGTGGTCGGTGGTTTTCTACAATAAGTGTTCTCTTAAGGATTCGGAATTGACCCTAACCATGTTGATTTTACCAAAGGCTAGCTATCTGGAGTTACTTTGTCAAGCACCTATACTAGCTTGCTACACTGCCTTATCAATCAGGCAAAAAGGTTATTTTTTATACTGCCTCTGAACAAAATCAAGTAAATCTTTCCTCTAAGCCAACATCATTCCCTCTATCGTTTGTTTTCTGGTCATTTTATTGGAAGATACTTAAAATCTCGATTGTCCTGTAGTGATCTACTTTTGTGACGAGAAGGCGATTGGTATGATGAAAACAATTATTATTATAACCAATTGTATTGGTGGTTGTTTTACCGTACTTGTTTGTTTGAGTGTGCCAAAGACTCACTTTCTTCTGTTGCCTGTGACCTTGCACGAACTCGAGTACGCTCCGTAGTCCCGCTTGTAAACTTCAGCACGTCTCGGTATTCCTTCGATACCACGAGATCGCCAACAAATATATCTTATTGCGACCGTCAACTTCCTCCTGGTTTTTGGCTTACGGAGGGATCCAACTCCATTTCTGGCACGTAACCTTCCTAAAGCGGTGATCATAGTCAATCGCAACTCTATGCCATCTACAGTTCAATCCCATTATAACCAACCTATGTTCAGGACAATCTACCTTTGAGCACCAGATAGGATTGAACGGAGGACCTTTATCTGCCGTATATATCAAACAAACGTCGGCTACGTCGGCTTATTACCTTCAGGACACCTCGGATGGAAGAGAAGGAATATTTAGATCACCAACATAGGTGATTTCTGCCGATGATTGGGAGCCGATATGAGTCGAACGGGAATATTGTAACTTAGTGTCACAGAAAGAACTGAAAATATTCGACTGAATAAAGGCAGTTATATTAAATATTAATAAGTTCACTATTCTGAATGCGCTCGTTGCACTCAACTTCTAACTTGCTTGTTTCTATCTCTGACTTCGGACATTTTGGTTTCTCTTTGTCTTTAGTTCAGTATTTGTAAGTTTTTGCTCTAGGAACCTAAAAAAAATAAAGGTTTCTTTCGTGACTGTTATAATTATTATGGGGACGATATTTGGGTGGATTAATTGTGAGTTGTGAATAAACTTTGGTGTCTCAATTAGAGTTTGATTTTATTGTGATTCAGTAACAAAATAAAGAAAAACCTTGGATGTGACAGTTCGGTATTCTGGAAATTTTGCTCGGGAAGTCTAAAAATTGAAGAGCGATGTATTTGCTTTGATTACTTATAATTTACAGGTAAACTTTGGTATCTGAATTTGAATTTGGTTTTTTGCTATCTGAGGCCGTTAATCACGAGTCGATCGATCGACCGTGCTCCATAAATGGATGGGAGCAAAACTTGGACGTAAATACTCACATCAAAGTCACAACTCAGGATTATTATCTAATGGGGATTACCTTTTCCTCGGATACAGGTACTATTGCCACATTGTTGGCTTTACAACACAAACACATTATTGAAGGTAGATGAACGGGGGACAGTTTGACCACTGACACTTGGGCAAGTTCGTGGCGTGAAATCGGTTGATAAGCGTTGATTGATACTGACCTAGACGAGGATAAGTTGACTGTTTGGTGTTTAATGACCTGATCGTCGGATGATTTGGTTAAGGCAGTGACATTTCACCTGCCCTACAAATACATTAAGCAGTTCTTGATGCACAAATATGAAGCCTATTGTGTAACGGTAAGTAAATCTTCAAGATAAATAGTTTTGCATGTCTACGAAACTTATGATTACCCCATTAGTTTCACTGGACACGCCGTATCCGAAGGCATCCGGTCACACAGAGGCAGCAGATCACTAGTGGGTACTCCGTGTTACACATACCTGGCGACAACTAGCCAGGTTAGGTCACACAATTCACGACCTACCAACTACATTTAAAATATATTTTGGAACTCCTCCATTTCCGACTTGTGGTTTGACTGGTGTTGGTTCATCTGATCATGAAAGTGATACGAACAACAGCGTTGACAGCCCCGAAATATCCCTGACGTCTTAAAACCTGTTGTGGATATTCTCAGGCTATTTGCTGAGGCATCCTAAGAGTCGTAATGATTGTGCACCATTTTAAAATCGTTGCTTTCGTCTGTCGTAGCCAGAGTTCAAGGTAGTTGCATGTCAAGAAACATAACTTTCACTTTTTCCTCTCTAAACCAATCAGTATAAATAAATATCCAATTAAAAATGAGAGTTTAAGTTCATGTTTCCACTACATACTTAAATCAGAGAAACAATGATATCAAAAAGGGACAATATTTCAAGCAAAGGTTAGAGTAGAAAATATTTGTTTTATTCGACCACTTTAAATGGTCGCAATTCAATTTGTGTAGGTCATTCTGCGTACAATTTGGGATGTCTGACGTACCTGTGATTAATATCCCGCTTCATGGACAGGATCATCTATTTACTTTCTGGAATGAGCTCAATGCTAATGAGCAATCTGAAATCCTCAATGATATTTCAAAGATAAATTTTCCTGCTCTCGGTCGCTTATTCGATGTAAGTCTTTTGTAGTTGTATCAACGATTAAAAAATGTGAATGAGTCATTATTTTGCTACCAAAAGACCGTATTTTATCAGCCTTTTCATCAAACAGTACTACGTCATCTGCAATTGCAAGTCAATAGGTGGACCCCATGGTAGGAGGATTGCAATCCCTGAAAATTCGGTCGATAAGACAGTTATTTCCTTTTTCAAGGATAACCTACACTAAAATAATTCTTGTAAGTATGTTATAGCAATGTTTTGATTGTTCCAAGCCAGAGTCCTCCAGTCGTTCCTCACTGTAGTTCCAAGTGGGACTGCGTCATCATCTTTACTCAAAGTTCTCAACATTATTCAGGGCCTTTAAGGAAACCTTGACTGTTCACTTTAGAGAAAAGAATTATTCCAAGTCGTAGTTTCTATCACTTTATTATAGTTCAATTCATCTAAAAGCTACTAGTGTTCTAAACTCATCGGAAGTCTCCACTTATGTGGTTTCAATGTCAATTACTGTTTCGCAATTCACATCATTTATGTAATACAGATTTATTTTTAAAGCTACTCACTTTCTGCTTTCTAGATTGTCTAATATAATACATAAGGGCGTACATATACATGATTAGACACTGATTTTCGATCTATAAAACAACCTTGGTCTGTTGAGTAGTATCTTTATTTGAAATCGTGACGTTACTCGAAAAATTGCTTAAATAAACTCTAGGAAGTCAGTAAATATAAAAACGTTTGCTTTATCACGTCTTTTTCTGATTGATAGTTTACAACTACTGATTTGTCAGATCTAAATTTTAAGTATTATGAAGTGTTATCAGTATTTCAGTTACTTTCCTATTTGGTAAGTGACTACTGACATATTATTTGTTGTTTCACGGGAAGATACTCAGCTGTTTATCTGGTTATTTTCTTTCCATAACTCATGTCTTTCCGACAATCATTGTGTTGTGTTACAACTTAACTCCCCTTAATGATTTTCAATAGAAACTCGAAGAGAATATCAAATTATGCACTTTTTGTAGTATGTTTTGTATGTAACGAAACATGGTATTGCATTAAAAAACCAGTTTACAACAAAGATAATCATTGTTTTTTATAACAGACTCCTCCAAATCGCTCTTCCGGAATCGATGACAAACTCTTTCCACCTGATTCAAAAATATGTAAATCTCTGTCGGAATTGCGCACTTCACAACCTCGCTTGCTGGAACGCTATTTCAGTATTGGTAGGTTACCATTTCTTCGCTCAACGTGATATTTCAAGGTTTGCGGGCAGTCAATGAAAATAAAGTGGCGGTTCTACTGTTAGCGGGTGGTCAAGGGACACGACTTGGTGTTTCCTATCCCAAAGGGTTGTATAAACCAAATTTACCATCAGGTCGTTCATTATATCAACTTCAAGCCGAGCGTCTTCATCGTGTTTGTCAAATGTGTAAAGAAAAGTTTGGTAAAACTCCTTCGATAACTTGGTGAGTAACATCTTTGTTAAACTCAATAGTTATCTGTTACTCAAACGTATATCTAGATGTACTGCAATAAAAATTTCTATTGGGAAAACCAGTAATAACACTGAAATTTGATTGATATGGTTGTGAGTTGAAAGAATATGATCTCCCTTTCAAAATCCTCTCATATAGTCGCACGTTTTCAGCCTCCTCTAGGGAAGAACTACTCACTACCTTCACAGTGGTAGTGTTCCTATAATAGTGAGAATGAAACTGAATATCTGGGGCCCGAACTGGGTCTATAAATAGTGAGGGTTCACCTAGAGGAGTCAATAATCTCGCTTCGAAAACACCAGTGCGCATTTGCCAAGGAATCCTAAGAAGACGAGGAGGGTACAAACGTCTTTTGGCTGAGGTTATCAGGGATTTGGATTTCTTGGCATTAATCTACTGTTTCGTCGATTATACATTTAGGTCGAAGGGTGATCTGAAGAAAACTAAGTGTTATATTTTGTGCACCCAAAGAATACTACTGTCCTCACACGTGCAATAGTTACCAATAAGAAAAGTCAAATAACGAACCACTCAGCTGATGCACTAAGCCTCAGAAATAAGAATCTATTTTCTACTTCATTTCTTTCCTATAAGCCTCAAATCTGGACGCAAACGGGTCATTTCGCAACCAGCTATCGATTAATTGGATATGTACAAGTCTACTCTCTTTAACGCGTCTATTTGAATTCTGACCACGCTCTGGCGTACATCCACCTCACTTTTCATCCTGGTGGTTGACAGATTTGTTATCCTAAACTACTTGACGTAGTTTGCTTACACTCCCAGTTTTGATTAAATATCAAGTGGATCTGGGTTGGAGGATGGATTGACTCGCTGGAAAGTATCGATAAGCAATGGCTGCATTTAGGAAATTTGTACTGTTCTGCAAGACATTCCATTTATAAACACTATTTTCTCGGTTCCATTCGATCTTGTTCCTGCAGATCCTAAATATATCGATGCTTGTAAGTCACTTTCGCATAATCTCACGATACCGTGGGACCTGGTAGTTAAATCGTTCTTGAGAGTCGGAAACAGGAGCTGCATTTGGAAACTATCAAAAGCTGTCTGAAGTCTTTTAAGCCACTGCCAGCGAGATTTCTCACATCAATAAAACGATTCATGAAAATGATCCCATTCCATTTATTAACATTCAAAGACAGATCAAACTTTAATGTAAGCATTTTAAGGGACAACTCAACTGTTCTGTTACCGTAACAACTTCATCCGTATTACTGTCCTATGCTCCTTGGACAGAGTCCACTGATCTTTCTAATGACATGGTCATCCATAAGGAAATGCAACTTCTATGTGTCTTACTTCGTCAGGTTCAGATGACTTATCTCTATCCGTTTTAAAAACTGAATGAAAATTTGTAATCAAAGATTTGGTTGGATTAGAAATGATTTGTCATACAAAGTGTTCCATCGTACTAAAATAAAGCGATTGTCTTAACCATCTTGAGGTTTCTATGTAAAGCAGTTGATAATGATCGCGCCATAAATCTGCTACCAGTTTCATCTTAAAATTTTAATTTAATCATACTTTGTGAAGGACACAAAACTTGTGAAGGACTGATTTGTAGATTTTTATTCGGCTCGTAGGTGAATTGATCAAATCTTCACTCCTAACCAGGAGAAGATATATCAATGCATAGTGGTTGGACACAATCTGCAGGAAACAACGGACATACTTTACACTCGTCACTAAGGCGTATTTGGAAGCTTAGGTGGAACTGATGCTTTGCATCTAATTCGAACCCGCATCAAATAGTGTCACAGTTAGATACGATACTACTGGGCTATTCGGTTTGCGATCGATCTTCTGTAGGACTACAACTTTCACACCAACTGATCACTGTGTAGCTTACCTTTCCTATACCTTTGCGCTGATCAAATTGGAGTTTCAATTACTTAGCATCAAGAAATATTGCACACAATGTCAAATGTCAAATTCACATTACAATCTGTTCATTAAAATAGATACCCATGGTTTTAACCACTATCTGGTAACAAGTCTCTCTCTCTCTCTATATATATATATATATATATATTACAAACTTACGACTAGATTTTTATTCTTATTTAGGTATATTATGACTTCTGAGCACACAAAAGAAACAACTGTACAGTTCTTTGAATCATCTAATTATTTTGGACATAATTGTGATAACATAGTATTTTTTGAACAATACACTCTTCCGGCCTTTTCTGTAGATGGAAGAATCCTGTTGCAAACTAAGTCTAAACTAACATCAGCTCCAGGTAAGATTCCAATCACTTCATGTTGACTGAAATGACACAAAGAATTTCCCAAAGATAAAAAAAACTAAGTTTCTGCGTTTTGTCGTACAACGGCATTTACATTGGGGAGTGTTGAATTTCAACCACGGTGATACACATTATATATTTCTGCTTGCTAATACTATGTGTTGAGTAATCACGTTGAGTCCTTCATTGTTTGTTTAGTTTGAGTTTACTATCTAGATAAGTTTATGAGCATATAAAATAAATCTTTGTCACTTTAGGGAATGCAGCCATATATTGTATTCAATCAGTTTCTTCATTTTTCTACTAAACTATTGACGATTATTTCACTGTTTAGATTCCATGCTGTATACTTAAAGATTTATCATATTGTTTGCACTCAACTGTTATATTTAGTACCTTTATACTAGAAAAAACTGCTTAATACAATTTCTCAAATGAAAGTATGAATTGAGTAAAGTTACTTGAGTAAATAATAATCACTGATAATATAAAAAATGTACACATTCTTTCTAGCTAGAATAATAATGGTATACAACTAGTGAGTTTACTAAATATTATCATGGTTAAAATGTTTAAATGTAGTCATGTATGTTGATTATTCAATGGTTTGAAATCAAACGCCAAAAAGCTTTAATCAATAAGTAGAAATCGATACTATTAATTATTAACATTGTTTTTCTACCAGCCGAAAATGTAGACCTCTGTTAATTAAGACATCAGCAAATGCCTCATATATATATATATTCGTTACTACTTTTCTTCCCGACCGTTGCTGCTACCTTGGTGTGGTGGTTGGGTTCGCCTATCATGATAAACCAACCAGGCTATACTGGTTGGAACGATCATTCCTCAAGGTCCTGCCATGTCAGACAGATCGGTTAAAGAACGATAAAACTAAAAGCACCAAACCCAACGTCCAAGGGCGAAGTCGTACTACTGACCGTACAGAGGTGTGGTGGCAGGGAAGTTTTTCCCTCAAACAACCAGCATAACAGCGATTCTGCCTTCCCACAAAGAAAGGGTGGAGTTAGAAAAGGTCGACCCTAAAAATACACATCTTGCCTTATCTCACGGACATCTGCCTCCGGCGGTAAAGTCTCAACACATACGCAGCTAACATAGAAATTACCCACAAAATGGTTGTGTGTGACCGGCTCCAAGCAGTTGTCTTTTTGGCACTGTGGTCACTCTCTCAGGTCACTAAGACCAACTCTAACCCAATTTCCTTTCCAGGTACCTCTAGAAGAACCCTTCCACGGTGTGGACAACCGGGAAATGATAACCGCCTTCATACCTTCACCAACACTCAATACCACTTTGCAGCTGACTGACCTCTACTTTTCTTAAATTAAAAGAAAAACAGTATTTTTACTCAATAAGAAAGTGTTCTTGTTATTTCCATTGTGTGCTTTCACCTGTACCATCTGACGAATACAGCGAAAGTGTATATATTTATTTACGCATTTATGCTAGTAATAAATACGCCTATCTTACTTTTTAACTAGATGGAAACGGTGGTTTGTACAGGGCTCTTAAAGAACGTGGTATTCTCGATGATATGAAATTAAGAGGAATCGAATATGTCCAAATTTATTGTGTTGATAATATTCTGGTAAAGGTACCTGATCTCCACTTTATTGGATACTGCATCGAAAATAATGCAGATTGTTCTGCGGAAGTCGTTCAGAAGCTAGACCCAGAAGAACCGCTTGGAGTTGTTGGAGTAGTGGATGGTCAGTATCAGGTAATCTGTCCTGTTATCCAGTTGATAGTATTGTTTCCATCTCTTATAATAATATCGGGTTACGTAAATATAATTTAGAAAAATTGATTATTGTCTCTGTTGGATTCATCATTTATCATTAGATCGATTCACGTTTCTTCTACCTCATGTATTAAGCTTTTTCAGCACTTCAACGATTTAATGGGATTTTTCGATTTCGGGGCATGATTTAAGTTCTCTCTGTTCTCATAAAGACTCTAAAACAGCTTTAACTTTGTCCCATTAGAATGGTTTTAGTCATTGTCCCAGATTTCACGAACATATCCGAAGAATAAGCAGACCAGTCCTCTTATTGAAGCTTTCTTGCATTTGGAAGCGATTGAATGGTTTATTAGTAAGTTTTCTCATCAGTTATCTCTCTACTTTAAATCAGTATTTCTGTTAGATCAGTGGAAATTTGCTTTATTAATGAGTTCTTAGTTTTTGAAGTGGAGAAAATTAAATCATTGTAATTTGTCTTCATTTGACGTGGTAAACTTTGTCTCATACACACTATCTTTTACAGTCTCACTCTTTGAGAATCTGGTCATTTCAATTCAAATCTTATACACACGTGGTGTTTCTGCATTCTAATCTACTTAAAGAGTGAAAATTCACCAACTGGTCTACTAAACATTGCTGTATTTGCATTTAATTATTCTTTTGTTCATGACAGTACACCAGTCAAATCAAAAACTCTATCCTAACCTTAACACGTCGAACCTAAGATTTAACGGTAGCAATTTTTAAAAGAGAAGTGCTATTTTATATCACTTTAGTTTTCATCTGTATGATTTTTATTTTTGATTTTCACTAGAGGTTTTATGTTTTTACAAAACTTTAATGGTTTTAACTTCATATCAATATTAGGTCGTAGAATATAGTGAGATATCTCCCGTTACAGCATCCTTACGTGTAAACCAATATGACTCTCATAATAGTGCACACAATTCAAATGACAGTGAAACCAGTCGTTTAGTTTATAGCCATGGCAATATTTGTGTACATTTCACAACGAGATCATTTTTGGAACGCGTTTGTCAGGATGATATACAAATGAAAATGCGCTATCATCGAGCTCAAAAGAAAGTTACTTGTATAGATTTGCAAACAGGAGAATTGATTGTCCCTCAAAAACCGAATGCAATCAAATTTGAAAAATTCGCATTCGATGTTTTTCCATTTGCTAAGTACGTCATTACTTTCGTTCATATTCTTTTTTTCCAATTGTACTACATATTCTTGTTAGTTCTTCTTATCATTTATTTAAGTCTTAGACTGTGAATTGTCTGAGGAAACTGTTTGTTACTTATCTGTAGGGGTTTGAATATCTTTGTTGCTGATTTTAAGGGCTACAGCTTATGAGTCGTAGACCTATGTTATATAGTTTATTGTCAAGACCATTTTACTCCTGACTTATAGGTTCCGCATGTGCTCATATTGATTGTAGAAGTTTTCTCAGCGATATATCATACGATTTAGTATTTAATCAGTTATGCCAGTAATTACAAATAGTTTGTGGTATGAATAAAGTGTCATTCATCGAATAATACCACTGATCGGATTGATTAGATGTTACTGGGACATCTATGTTGGGATTCCTCGTTTTACGGATATGTGATCAAAATGGCACAAGCAACTTCGAGCTCTCTCTAGACTAGGTCCTATTAACATAACTTAATCTGCTTAGATTAACTAAGAAAGAATTTAATCTTTTTCCCGATTGTTGTATCTGGTCGTCGCTAATTTTTATGTCGGAACCGATTGTCCCCTATACTTGTAAAACGAGGAACCACTTCAATTCCCCATGACGCGCAAGTAAGAACATAAATAAAGATTTATTCAACTGAAAACGATACGATGACCCTAGTCGAAAATGTACTCGATAATATATATTTATTGTAAACCCATTTTGATAACTAATTGGGATGAAATCACATCTATGAAAAGTACCTAGAGTTATAACGAATCACATGCTAGGTGACATGGCTCAGAATCGGTCACATTGGCGTAGGTGTATATACTCTTTGTCTTCCCTTAAACCTTGATACATATATGTGCCTGGTCTTACGTTGTAGCTGACTGACTGACATGCTACTTCTCATTCTGAGCATAGTTCATGTTGGCCTTATACAAAGATATCGTGCATGAACAAACATCACACTCAAACAAATTAATGTTATACGGAATAAAATACCATACTGGAAAACAAGACAAAACAAACACTACACTGATTAATTATCACATTTAATTAAACAAAGGTAAGATTGGACAAAAATCATAACGTGTAAAAGAACGTAATTATACCTTTTCATCCCGTCATATTAATAAAAATGAAGCATGTTAGAAAACCAAGACAATCTTTTCCTAGCTGTCTCCCGTATGTTTCCAGGATACTTGTGCTATTCCTGCTTATTTTTATGTGTTACTATTTCCATTGACTGGTTCCTTGTTACTGCGAGGTATTGTTTTATATATTAATGAGTAAAGACCAAATACATCACTGCTTGTTTCTGCTTGAAATCAAAACATTTGGGTTTATTGAGTTCCATATAGGAACAAGGGACAGTTAGCAGCAAACTATTGTCAGAACAGCTACTCGTATCTAATATTGTAAGTTCCGTCCACCGTACGTGAAGTAAATTCAAACCCTGGAAAATTCAGATGTATGTTACTGCTATTCCAGTTGCCAGTATGTTTCAGTGCTCACTCATCCATGTGATACGTTAAACATTGCATAATCTGTAGGCTTTTTTCAATGAAGAATAATGTCACCACAGTGACAGCTTTTAACGTAACCAGTTAGGATATCTTTATGCGCCGTGAAGAATAAAGTCCAAAGCTATTGCTAGCCGTTTTGTGTGCAAGCGACAAAATCTAGTTCTGATTTCGAATGTATCGTTTGCTCAAATCGACATTTTTCTCTATATGGCTGTTACTTCTACTCCTGTCTAGCTCACTCTCTTATTTAATGTAATTTTTTACTTGGTTCTCCAACAGAAGAGGTTATCAATATAATACAATATTCGTCAATAAAAATCCCCTAAGTTGCCGTGAGCCTTTGTGAGATGTAAACCTTCTTATGTGATTTTCGAATTCCAGAAATTGGTTTAGAAGTATTAACAATGGTACAATGTTACTCAAAGTTGATTGTATTTGACGAATCGAGGTATACTTGCGTTTCTCTTGCCTTTTTCTGTTCTATTAAGTTTCCCAAATGTGTTAAGTTCATTTCCGACATCTCATAACATCAACGAATATCTAGCGTATTTTTTATTTCAGAAAGTGTCTTCCTTTTGATCTCATTTGGGCAGAACATTGGCTCCTTACTATCTTTGGTTCTGAATCCCATTTTACTGAGGCTTTTCCTGTAGTAATAAACCTTGATACCTCAACGATTATTAATTACACTTGCTTGTTAAATAAACTTAATATTTAATTTGAACATTTTTATTGTATAAACTTAAGCTGCTTAGTTCTCATTTTCATTCTACTTTTCTACTCTCATCAAGACGATTTTTTATATGGGAAGTTCCTAGAGATGAACAATTTTCTCCGCTTAAGAATGGACCAGGTGCAATTAAGGATTGTCCTAGAACAGCGCGACTTGATTTACTTAATTATCATACTCGCTTAGCAGAAAATGCTGGTGCAATACTAGTAAATGATAGTTCTACGTCTAATGGGAATGGACACGTAGATAGTGTTCATGACAAGCCTTTAATTGAAATTTCACCTTTGATTACTTACAATGGTGAAGTAAGTTTTATTTACTTTTCGTTTAATAAATTTCTTGTGTAAACTTACTGTCAACAACCTATTTGATCATCGTAAAATTCGCCTGCAATGTTAAACATCAATCACTAGAGTTAAAAACACAGCACTGGATTGGTGATTAAAGAACTCTAACATTCAACCACTGAATCACAGGTTCCAAACGTACTTCATATAAGTATCTTTCAAAAGCTTGCACACAAATATTTACTTTACCATTAAATTACAATATCGCTAATTAGGAGTCATTTCAATGTTTTCAAGTTAAATATCAACTCCGTTGGATGCTGACCTAGTGGTCCTGTAGGTTAAGTGCTCAGGTGCAAGACCGAGAGTCCTGGGTTCGAGTCCCGCGTGCGGGATCGTGGATGCGTACTGTTGAGTCGTCCCATACTGGTATGAAACGGCAGTCGAGTGCTTCCACTTTTCCAATAGTGGCCTAACATTGATCAGCTCGTGATTTCACTGAAACAATAAACAATCTGAATTACGAGTTAATTAACATTAAATGAGCTTAGTAAGTTATTTAGTTAAAAAATTCATCGTGTTGTACCTAAGTGTTTTCTTACCACAGGCTATTCTATATCATTAGCCGATTATTTTATTAATTCAATCAATAGAAATGATAGACGTGTTAGAGTTCTCTGTTTTGACATTTTAAATTTAATTCCTTAATTGATGTAATCAGTCGACCAATAAAATCCTTCTCTAAGTCTATCATCCTGACACGCATATAAATTGTCTTCTAAACTTCCCAATACTTCATAATCTAACCAGTTTTTTTCTTATATTACATTGTTTTACTTGTATTGATTCAATTTCTATTGACTTTTTGGCAAAATATAATTTTCGTTTACTTAAGTTATTGATTATATATTTAACCTATATTTGGTATCTATATGGTATCATTAAAAATAAGGTTAGAATGACTGGTAGATTAATCGTATACTAGACTATTGGCAATGGTCATATTTCGATATGCGACTAAACCTAGAAGTTTTTTCTATTTTCTAAAGTTTTATCCAGACTTGTAATGCGTTGATTGTGATCTCAGTAACTCAATGACTGGTGGGGCTAAATGATTCTGGTTCATATTTTAGACTACGTGAATTCGGAGATACATCTTCGGGGATGGTTGTCAACTAGCACAGTGTCCGAAAATTCCTATAGATTATTTGGATGGTGTAATAAGAAGACAAAGATTATCAAAATGATGTGATATATTAACGCAATACATTTCGAACAATCTGACCACACACATATTTGTAATGAACATTTATGTCTAAAAATAAAAGGTCAGTTAGACAAATGGAGGGTAAGAGAAAACAAAGGTAATAAAGAAAATAATATGTAAAACAATTTGAAAACTCATCATGCTGGATAATAAGTTAATAATACCAGGGTAGGTTTAAGGTGCGAACAAACATAAAGGGGGTTTGACTTTTCGTATGGCTAAGGTTTCAATAATGCAAATGTCTGAATTGGAGATAAATGTCCAATTTGAAAATCTCTATGATCAACTGAGTGCACTAACCCCTACGTTTTTAAATAATCAAAGCTTGTGTAAAGCTAAACGGGTGAATATAGCGCATGAATTTCATAATCATGGACTAAAGTATAGAAGCATATTACCTTCTCAGCATTTTAAATCACTAAAAGAACTACGAACAAACTCTGATATTGTCTTACTGAGGCCTGGTAAAGTACCAAGCGTGGTTATCATGAACAAATGTGAATATAAAAATAAGATGTTATCCATCCTGAGTGATGAAAGTAAATTTATGCCTGATGTCGAATTTGGAGGTATTAGCAAACTAAAGGGAAGAGTAAATTCAAACCTAATAAAACTGCTACACATGAATATTATTGACAAAGATGAATTTAATTTTCTAAAACCTGTGGGTTCTGAGTATCCTCATTTACATGAATTACTTAAAATTCACAAATCAAACATTCCCTTACGTCCGAATTTTATTAATGTGCTGATCACCTACACATAACCTAGCTAAATAGCTGACAAAATTTCTGGATCCTATCCGTAAACATTTATGTAAGTGTTCTCTGAAGGATTCTTTTGAATTGATCGATCATTTAGGTGATATTAATATCAAGGGAAAGACAATGTGTTCATTTGACATGAATTCCTTGTTCACAAATGTACCTTTGAAAAAGACTATTGATATATTATGTGACTACATATCTTTGAACAACCTTAAATTTCCTGTTCTTTTAAAAATCCTTAAAGATTTGCTACTATTATGTACTGACAAAGTCCAGTTCATATTTGAAGGTGAATACTTTCGTCAGATCTATGGGGCTGCTATGGCTAGTCCGTTAGGACCATTATTAACAGATGGCATATGTCGAAAATCTAGCTGAAGGTCTAATCAAAAACATGTCTCTTTATAAGAGATATGTGGATGATATCTTAGTTGTCTGTTTATTGAACAAACTTAACACTCTTCAAAACCACATCAGTCTCTCATGCGAAGAGAAGAACGACCATCCATCTTTCTTAGATATAGTTATATGTAGACGAGATGACTCAGTCAACCAATCCATTTTTTAAAAGACAACTTGGACGGGTCAATACCTTAGTTATCATAATTACTACCCAGTGTAATACAAACAAGGTTTGATAAGGGGCTCACTTAACAGGATTAATAGTATTTGCACTAACGAAGCTAGGTTGCTGAACAAAACACTAATCGAAAATGGTTATCTTCTAAAATCCATAAATCTATGGGAAGGTCGTGTTATAGTGAGACCTATTATAGCCTTGGCACAAAAAAGCCTGCCTACATCATCTAACCGTTTAGAGATGAGTCAAGTAGCATAAACCGAAAATAATTCTTTGTAATATCACTCAACTCAGTCTTTAGTTGATATATTTTAATTTTTATTGATAAATGGAAAATCTGATGACCAGTGTGTATTTGTGCTATGGGGTAGGTGATAAATATTTTACCAACTTAAAAATGACTTTTAATGTGGTTCATAGTATATGTGATGTAATTTTCACTACACATACTTATCGAATCTCCTGTGTTGTATAAAAATTAGTGTGAAGAGCTACAGAAATTTCCCAACTAAGTGGTACTTAGGCGCAATATCTTCCCAGTGACACTATTGTCAAAGTTAGTATGAACTTGAGGCTATCCAGTGGAATCTGTAATAAAAGATGAGGTAGTCAACCTGACATTTCACTGTTTCTTCTAAAATCTTGTTTCTGCTCTATCGGTTGTGATTTACCTTCACTTACAAACACCATAATTTTTATTTTGGCGATAATATTCTTTTTTATTACTCTAGTAGAACTAAACTTTGCTGGCTAGTCTCAAAAATTACATAAATTTTAAAATCCAAATCACTTTTATGACTTCTCATTTCGTAGTCCCGAGTAAGCTCATGAATCGTAAGTATCTTAAAAAGCAGAGTTATCACATCACTATTTTGCTTATTGAATGATGACCTTCCATTATCATTATATCACATTCTCATAGGTCTTACAAACTTAGTTTTATGCAATACCTAGTCTTTGAGTAATAGCTCTAACAACCCTATAGGATCCGGTTTAAGAATTGATAAACATTTGCTGAAACTTTCATAGTTGGTCAGGATGTAACTTTTCGATAGCGTATACTGCATACTACCTACAACTGAAAACTGTAAAATATATTTCAATGAAGTATATTTTTGTGAATTATTGCTGATTGAACATGCTCCTCGTCATGTCATTATAGCTGGAAAACAGAACTTAGCTAACCCGTTTTCCCTAAACTCTTCTTTTTAGAACTTAACATGTCTAAAAGGTGTTAAAATTCATGGTCTCAATCGTTTGGAACAAGACAAAGAAACCGGTAAACCAATTATATTTTCTTGTGAAATTAATGACAGTATCTAGTCAAGATCTGTATGGATTTTTTTTAGCACTGATATATTCAATAACCATACATACAAATGGTCTTCCGTAGGTAACATATTCGGCCACTTTCATGCTGTGATTTTTCTATGAGGTGTTTTGTTTCATATATTTTAAACATTCCATATTACAACCTGTTTTTGTAACTGTTCGCTTGTATGTTAATGTTCGAAATTATCTGTTGTAATGTGATTTTTTTAAAAAAAATGTTGTGTACAATCAATGTGAAATTCATTCTTTTTCAATCCTATGTTCATTTTATTTTTTAATTGTGCTCAGTGATTGTTATTGGTTTCGTTCTCATTAATCTATGATACTAAGCTATACTGTTGTTATCTTCTCTATCACTTATCAATTTGTTTTATAACTTTTATTCTTAAAAACAAAATTGACATTTGTAACTTTATTTTCAATAGAAAGTAACCGTTATCTTCGGGGTGATTTTTTAAAAAGAGAAAATTCGTTTGCCTTTGTTCATATTATGACCTTTGCCCCTGTTGGTTGTCACGTGACAAAATCGCCAATCAGAATACCGACTTATATGAACTTGTTCTTGTGTTAAACAATGACACGTTAACCAACGGCAGCAGCCGTACGTCAACCCTGAATCTCTATTGGTCCTCAAACTAGTAACTTCTCACCTAGCCCTACCTGTTGAGTCCAGAACACAATCTCAGCCTCCAACGTATGAATAATATATTTCAGATATACGTAGTTTATATAAAGACAAACCAAACTGCATCATACCATAAAATTAAAAAACAACAATTAGGCAATATCAAACCAAAAGTGGTTGTAAATGTGAGAGACTGTAACTAATAGATTGGGAATATATTAGGAATGGTAAACCGTTTAATAATAGCCAATAGGTCAAATGAAATGAATGTGAATATACATATTATCTAGTTACTTGATAGTTCCAATGGGAATATATGTATTAATAGTCCATAAATCATTCCTAGCAGTTACTATCCATTCATTCTTTTTTCTAATGTAACAGTTCACTATTAATAACTCAGATATACCCACCAAAATAAATATTTCTCTAAATAATCAATAATAATTTCTTTGCAAAACATAACTATTATTATTCACTTAATATTGTTTGTTTGGATCTTCCCATCGATGTGTTTAGGACTGCAACTGATCAGTCTCTAATTGGCATATGTGCATACTGTGCGTATTGCCTCGATATACCTTAATTCACAAGCATGGTAAGCAGAGATGGATAGTGGCTAGCAGTGGAATCCAGGACGCGCGTTTCGTCCTATTTGGATTCCACTGCTAGCCACTATCCATCTCTGCTTACCATAACTATTATTATTAACCTGATTTTTCATTAATTATATTGTTGAAATCTTTCATGTGCCTACTTTTTTCTGAGAGGCTGCTATTTATAACGGGAGAGAATTGCCATAACACTAGGATAAAAAAGGATACACCATATAGGAAATAAATGTTTTTTGGGGAATAGAATAATATGAAACCATATAATAATTTATTACTTCAACACATAAACATTGGTTCAAGCACACACCAAAATATATATTCGCTACACAATAAAAATAAGGTTGGGAAGAGATAAAGGAAAGTGAGTGTAGTAAAAACAGATTTGAGTAGACATTAATCTGAGCGAACAATAAAAATAATAGTAGTAATGAAGAAGCAGTTCAGATAAGAAACACCCAACAAAAAAGGATACTTTCAGTTAGAGAAGTTAATTTCACTTTTATGGAGAAAGTCGAGTAAATTAACATCAAGGTCGCCACAGGCTCCTATTCTGAGCTATGTGTGATAACGTCTCTAGTAGTGTTGTCCCATGTCCAGGACACCAATTAGGGAGTCTCACGACTCGTGCCACCACCAGCATTTACGCAGCCACCCAGATACACGAACGTCTCGGCTCACTAACAAGAAGGAGTGCAAGTTCAGGGTATGGTAAACGTTAACTATTTGAATCACTTAATTCCATTTGACTGTCAGCACGTATGTGAAAATCTGAGTTATTATTGGTATATCAAATCAGAAATGAAAAATCTTAGGCAATAAACCTGCCAATTATGTTTGTCTTAACCGACGAGTTTTCTGAGTTTTCTAGCACTGAACAGTCAAGTCGAAATATCAAGAATAACTTGTACATAGTAAAATCCCGCTAAACAGGTTGAACTAAAAATTAATGTATGGAGTGTCATTAGGAAGTTACATTATCAATTTCCTTAAAATGATTTCATCACAATAGATCGTGTTCACTGAAGTAGAGTTCGAAATAATGCGTAGATAAATCGATTTGACTCGACTAACTTTGTCAAATACATTCATTGGCTTATTTGTAATTGAAGTTATTTCACATATTTAGCAGACAGCCATGCTATGTGAGGGTACACAACTTAAGGTTCTAATTGAACGCTTGATTCGGTTTCCTAAGCTTTTCTAGTAACCCCAACACTAACTCTACACGGCGACTTAAACTCGAGAGAAAAGGTGCGAATTGTGGAAAGAAGACTTTAATTCAAGGTCAGTTTCTGTACAGAAAATCAATGATCTTCATAGCATTTTAGATGTCTTTGGGCTTCTGAAAATTTCTCGAACCCTTCTAAATGTAGTAGCGGGATAGACAATCATTCAATCAGAAAAGTAACACGTGATTCGTCACTTTCTAGATGTTTCCGTGAAATTTTTCTTCGATGCTGATTGGATAAAATGTCTCCCAGTATTTTCAGGGCACCTATGGGCTCTTTTCGAGGAGTTTTACGGGTCTCTCTAACAGAAACCAGTGGGGTGTTTATTGTCAATACTATTGTTGCCTTCGAATAAAACGAAATGAAAGAAAATTGAGTTATATATGGCAGACTGTTAAAAGTTGATTGGAGATGAACGTTATGATACTTTTGATACATTATATAGCACTATGTTGAGGACACACTTCCATGCGGTCACTCCTACATAACTGATACATTTGACGACTAGATTTCAATATGACAACATAAAAAGAAGCTATTGTTGACTGCCTGACTGAAATGCAAACACAATCTCATAAACGTTTCCGATTGTTTGAAATGTGATTTCTGCTTAAAACGAAAATTCCACCTGTTGATATGAAGCCGTAATTGGTACATCGAATGGTGTGCAAGCAATAGTCGAACACCACAAACAACTAATAAAATTTCATGAATTAAGTTAAGTGAAAATTTCGAAGCTGTCAGACCTCATCAACACTATGATATTTCAATATTGAACGTAGTTTTTTAGACTTAAACAAGTTTAGTGAAGCCAAGTAATTGAATGTTCATAACTACAAATAAATTGAACGTTGTGTTTCAATTATTAACTTATTCCAGACAGCATGCATTGTATCTATTGTATTGTATCTGTGGTACCGACATTTGTTTTTCAAGTTGTTCAACATAACATCTAGTACATAGGTATGATACTCACTTATTTAAGCTTATTACCGCTGATAAAGAATAGGTCATCGACTAGGAGTCGCTGGTTGACTCCGCCTTCAGCGATCCATTCCAGTTATTAGCTTTCTCTGCTTTCATTAGGCTGTTTTTCAGTGATGTCTTTTTTTCTCTCAACACGAAGCGTCGTAAACCCCATATGTAACGACCTCTCAATTATCGTGACGGGATTTAAGCGGTTCAAATGCTTTTTTGGTGAAACGTTTTACAATGAGGTTGCTTTTTACGAGGGAGGGCTGTTAACTCCACGGTCAACTTTACTCATCTACACCGAATTGAAAACGTTAGTAACCATAAAAGATCTCAAGGAGGAGTTGACGACATATACAGGCCAAAAAACTGCTTTCAATTAGATCTTTATGAAGCTTTGCATTAATGTTTCCATGGATATGAGAAAAACGTTGAACAAATCAGGGCAACTTGTGGACCCATGGAAGCAATGGAAACGCACTATACAATCAATCGTAATAGGTAAAACGTATAAATTGATTGCAAAGTTACAGGTACGGTGGTAGATATAAGTATGATAAACAGAGTGATCAAGCCTTCTAAGTCATTTTCATTGCTTCAATTAGCAATTTTATGATGGTAATCTCAATACTGAATTTTTTCTCTGATAGTTGTTGATACACAATTCTAGCTGTCATAAGCTGTCGTATGCTCGTAAATAAAGGAGGAAAATCAAGATTTATGATATGCTTCTCCTTTAAATTCATATATTACACCATGGGAATAAGATCATAAGTATCTTTGATTTTTCTGTCAACGACGTGGTTGCGTAGAGGACAGTCTCTTATTGGCATATGTGCATACTGTGCGTATTGACCTGATAAAGCTTTAATTCACAAGCATTATAAACAAAGATGGATAGTGACTAGCAGTGGAATCCAAGACGCGCGTTTCGTCCCATTTGTGACTCGTCAGCTGGATGTACCTGCATCTCAGAGTTGATGTTCACCTGGACAACGTGATGGCGTTTGAAGCAAAAGGTACTAGGTTCGAGTTTCAGAGTGAACATCAACTCTAAGATGCAGGTAAATCCAGCTGACGGGTCACAAATAGGACGAAATGCATGTCCTAGATTCCACTGCTAGCCACTATCCATCTTTGCTTATCATGCTTGTGAATCAAGGCTATATTGAGGCAATACGCACAGTATGCACATATGCCAATTAGAGACTGACCAGTTGCAGTCCTAACACATCGATAGGAAGATTCAAACAAACAATACTAAGTGAATTTAAACTTCACCCCATCGCACAAGCAAGTGGCCGAGTGGATAACGTGATGGCGTTTGAATCGAGGGTACTGGGTTCGAGTTCCAGAGTGAACAGCAACTCTGAGATGCAGGTACATCAAGCTGACGAGTCCCAAATAGGACGAAACGCGCTTCCTGGATTCCACTGCTAGTCACTATCCATCTCTGCTTACTATCCATCTTTGCTTTTAATTCTTATTATTTGTAATCTTGTTAATTGTAAAATGTATGTTTGATGTTTAGGTAAATTAAAATGTTATTCGAAATTAAAGAATAAATTTTATTAATTATAGTCAAGCAAACTGATATACAACCTTGTCAATATATTCATTATTTTATAGAATTACAACTTTGGATATTGAAGAAAAAGGAACTGAATGGGATAATTACATAATATACTACTAATTGTTTTAAATGATAAAATAAAGCATGATTACTTATTAGGGTCAAAAGAATTGTTATAGTAAAAATCCATGGATGAAATATTTACAATATATTATCTATCAACAGAATATAATAATATCAATCATCCTATCTAAAATAGTTAGCAATAATACAACACTATAATTAGAACTAAGAATTTATTGATTACCCTTGTTCTAACATTTTATACATTCCTTCCAATATGTAATAAACGTTTGAATGCGCTTGCATATTCTTTAGTACAGAATGCATATATAAATGGATTACACATACTATTCAAATAACCTGGCCAGGCTGTTGCCATTGTAATTCGTTCTGATAGTACACACTCACATACACCTTCAACTAAATGAAAAATAGCAAATGGTAGCCAACATAAAATAAAACAACACACTACTAATCCTACTGTTTTGACAGATTTTTGTTCTCTGTTGAAGATAAGACGTTCGTGCCGATAGCTTTGTATTTCAGTATGTGTGTTAGAATGCTTCAACTTTGCAGCCACATTTTGTGTAATCTGACTGTTTTGCGTCTCAACATTTTTGTGTTGTGGATTACTTTGTTGATCATTTAAAGAAGCGTCAGTTGTTTTGTGAACAGCTTGAAGTGAATTGTCTATGATTATATCTTCTTTCGTATAAGCAGTTGGTGAAGTACAGGCTTCTGTGTTCGCTGTACTTTCATGAACCACAAACGTAAAAAAATCATTCAAATCAGATTTCGTCGTTCTACGCAACATCGTTATGCGAAACATCGGAATAAAGTTTGTGTGTTGTTTAGGCGTTTCCGGAACATTCCACTCTGGTTGTACAGCACTCTCATTGGAAAAGGAATTCATGGAAGTTTGACTGTAAGATTGAGTGACAGGAAATTTGCTCAGATCGTTACGTCTCTCACATGGAGTGCAGGCAATGCACAATTTACATTGTCTGCATTTTGACGCAAATAATCGAAGTTGATTGGAGTTAACTGAACCGAGATACCTCTTGATACGTACAAAACGATGGCGATAGATATTATTCAGACTGAAGAGCAATTTAAATGATCCAAATCTATGTTTTTCCATGTTAGATGAATGCTTATCAAATTCTAATTCCTTCGAACGACGACGAATCACCCAAAATATACGTATGTAAATGAAACCGACTAACAAAAATGGGACGAAGAATATGAAGATTCCTGTGAGAAATCTATATCCTGCATCAGTTCTTACGTAACAGCTTCCTACTCCTGTGTGGTGCTGAGAGCCGAATATAGGTGGGACCATTACTAGCAACGATATTATCCAAGCACTTCCAATCATTACAAATGCAGTACGACGTGTTCGCTTGCTGATGTATTTCATCGGATAATTGATTGCAATATATCGATCCACAGATATACAACATAAGTTCAATATGGAAGCTGAACACAAGAACACGTTGAGAGACAGCCAGAATATACATAATTCGTGTGATTCATAAGGCCAATAACCGTAAACTTGACGCATGATGGAAAGAGGTAGAACTAGGATTGCAACAAGTAGATCAGCCAGAGCAAGTGATACAATGTACAGATCAGTTATACGTCTCAATCCCTTAGTCGTTGCAACAGCTGAAATCACTAGTAAATTACCACCAAATATAAAAATGTCAGATAGGATTTGGAGAGAAATGATAATTATGTTCAATGCGAATCTCCATTCACTGAACATTTCACTTTCCACTTTTGTTAGATTAACGACATCACTGATAAAATTAGAATTTGTACTGGATAATGTACAAGAAACATTTGTATGACATGTCTCCATTCTATATTCGTTTTCACGGAAACTGTTGTCATTTAAAAACACTTGTTTCATGTTGGTGACATATTCTAAGAATATTTAGTTCAGTTGTTTATTCGAATCTCTATGTGAAAGTTAAGAATTCAAGTTGTGTCATATTTTATAAAATGTAATTATTTGGCCATCTATCTTGAAGTGATATGTTTATGTGCTCATCAACAGGACACCAAGATTTATTTTTTGATTCTAAGTTAAACTCATATTATGTTCATAAAATGTCCAACCAGACTGTTATACCAATCAGAGTGCTACGTAGAAACGAATTCTAACCAATCATCTATTCAGAATTTGTCGTAAACAAAACATATACAAGAATATCGTACCATGAACAAACATCACACTAAAACAAATTAATGTTATACGGAATAAAATAACACACTGGAAAACAAGACAAAACAATTACTACACTGAGTAATCATCACATATCCTACTTATAAGCATCGGGTTTTTACCGGCCCTATATTTGACTTCGATTAGATCGTATGATGATTACGATTGAAATATACATCCCGGCTACCCTCGAATACAATCATCAACTTAAATTGCGTTAGTGAATAACAGAATGAAATAAGTCAACACGAGAATGGATTTCGAATACACATATTTCATACAATCTTTGTTCCAGACAGAGGATCAGAGAAATGAAACGAAGAGATCGAAACGAAATGAAACAACGCGCAGTGGGGAAGGCGAGTGAGCCCACTCGATTTAATCAAGCCTGACTCAATATTTGTATCCACACAAAAATAAATTACAGACACATGATGAACATGGTAAGCAATTAACACACTCACGATCATATAAAACGAGTCAGGGCTCACCTGACACCTGAAATAGTCAAAATATGTCTTGAGAGGAATGAATAGATTGGTCTTTCCAGGATCTAGAATAACCTATATGAGCTTGACGCAGTACCAGCCACTACAGGTTTCTACAGGCTCCTTACAGCTCACTAAACTATGTTGGCCTGTTCCGTTCAACCGCGAGTTGGACCAAAAACGGAGATCGTTGCCTGATCACATTGTGCAAAGTTTGAGTAGGGACCAAGAAGTCGGATTGTTGGAGGGTACTATCAAGTTGAAAGCAGCAACTTCTTCTGACAACTGCCGGAAGCTCTTCCAACTCACCCGAGTCACTGGCAGCAAGAAGTATGGTGTGAGTGAAACAATCTGTGGAGCTAATGGAATGCTGATCGCTTACATCTACCGACGTCTTGGGCTATAGATGGAGTGTCTTTTTACGGACAGTCCAGTTGGCTTGATGCCCTGATAACATTGACATGCCAGGCGACGACTGATCCACCCAACGAGTCCAAATTATTGGCTTCCGTCATACTTATTATATTGTTGAAAACTTCAGAAAGATTGACTTGTTGGGAACAGACGGGTTTTCATTAGGATGTTAGAACACATTCTTATTTATTACAGGCCAACAATAGTAGCGGTGCTTGACATCACGGTTGCCTTCGATTAGTTGAACAAGAGTGTTCTCTGCGATTGTCTATTGAAGAATGGTGTACCTGAGAAGTTTATTGACATACTGAAAGCCCTATATACAAACACCTTAAGCATAATAGAGGCATATAACCACCTCTCCATTGTTTCACTCAAACAGTGGGGTTAGGCAGGGTTTCCCAATTTCACCATTCCTACCAAACTTTGCCACCGATGACATTCTGGAAACAGTTCTGGTGGATGTAGGTATTAGTGGTGTAGATCTGCTCCATTAAGAAAGACTTTTCAACCTTTGGTACGCCGATGATATTGTCTTACTGTGAGATAATACCAAGCTATGCAATCTGTACTTAATCAGTTGGCAATTATTGTTCGTAGGTGTGATATGTACTTCACACCTTCTAATTGCAAAGTACTTATGCAAAACTGGCAGGACCCTCAACTTGCACTCACTCTTGGTAGTGAGCAGAGAGAATTAGTCGAGAAGTTCGTGCATCTGGGTGGTTGCGTAAATGCTGGTGATGGTGTGAGTTGTGAGACTCCCTAGTTGTTGTCCTGGACATGAGATAACACTCACAATTGTTTGATCACTGGGTGGTGATCAATCTCATGCGTGTCAGGTCCTTAGTGCTGATCGAATGCTATCGATCAAGTTGCAATGTGGCCACCAGTCTAGGTGGCTCGACACTGCGGGCACTATATATATTAGGGTAACATGGTGGTTGGAGGTGGTCAACAGGAAACCCTGGACCCGGGTTTCGTGCTACTTGGCACTCGTGTCGAGCCACCTAGACTGGTGGCCACATTGCAACTTGATCGATAGCATTCGATCAGCACTAAGGACCTGACACGCATGAGATTGATCACCACCCAGTGATCAATCAATTGTGATTAGATCTCAGTCCTACAGGAGGTCGGTCGCGGCCCGAATAGCTCAGTGGTAACGTCTCTGACTGTGAAGCTGAGTGATGCGGGATCGAATCCGCCAGGGAGCATCAGTTCCCTCAAGATTACAGGTACACCTTGCTGACGAGTGCCAAGTAGCACGAAACCCGGGTCCAGGGTTTCCTGTTGACCACCTCCAACCACCATGTTACCCTAATGAGATAACACTGCCTGACATGTTATCACACATGGATCAGAAAAGAATATTTTCTGGGTTTTGTACTACATGTTATCTCAGAGATATTATTTATGTAACGAGGCTTACTCAAGATGATTTTGGGCATGTAGTAACACCACCATTAAACGGAGAATTGAAAGAATATATTTAGTAAATGTATCTGGGAAAGATGGTTACCAACTAAACCTGTTTATTGGACTTATCATTACGCATAATATCAGTAGGAAAGTTCATAAATGGATAATTCTACCTCACATAGAAAACATGACATCTAGGAATAGATTTAGACTACATACCCACAAAATCTTCATAATTGATATCGTTCAATTTAAAGGAACCCTCACTACCTGCAGTCAACTACGGATCTATGTTCGACTGTGAGTACATGAGGATGCCCGACAAGGAAAGCATCTAGAAAGCTAGATCCTAGAACTCATGTCCAAATCTACAGACATATGAGAACCGACTCGAACCATCAGCGAATAAGAAAGGGGATGAACAACTTCAAGGTCAGAGATCAGGGCAGGGAAGAAGACTATCAAAGCAGACATACGTGCAACGGTCACACAATAATGGACAACAGCCATTCAAAAACAAGTTAAACGGGATAACGTGCTCCATAGAGATTCTTATAGAAATATAGTGAAAGTCTTACGACAAAACTACCCAAACCAGACGATATAACACATCCAAAATCCTCATCTTGAGTTGAAAATATCCATCAACATCTTATAGCGCGATTACGTTAAAGATTATATTAGGGAAGAAAATGATATAATCTGCCATATAGCTGGTGTAGTCATAGATATGTTATCCTCGTACAGATAGATGGGAAACATAACACACTCATTTCTGTCTATATGTGTGCACGTGATTACTATCTTTACCTCACGTGAGTGATTGTGGGTGCGCACTGCTGAGTAGTTTCGCAGTCAGTATCTGAGATGATTTTGTGGGTGACAACTACGTTAAATATACATTCGTTGTTCATTCGAAGAATGAATTGACGAAAACTATGGATGAAACTTCGGGGATTGCATCAACAAACTAGATGACGGTTTGAAATGATTAATCTTACTGATGCTCTTGTTTCACAAAATAGGTAGACTTGAAATCGCTCTTTCCCTTTTTTCTCTTGGTAACACCGTTTTTTGGAGATATGTTGCGCTTATAAAGTCTTATTTTACAAGCGAAATGCTAGCCCACTAATTTCAGGTTTTACGCAACCAGTTGACTCAGGCGGAATTGTAGAAAGGCGTTTGCACTATTCACCATAAACATGTCACAGGTGTTTGTACAACATAGAAATTGACGTCAAAAATGAAGAATTGAACCACTGTTTAGATTTGAACTAATTTTCCCTCGGAGTGTTGTAATGTTCCTGTATCATGATATATATATATATATATATATATATATATATATATTGGCATAATTGTATTACTGCTGATTATTTTGCAATTATTAGCAGTTTTATCAAATAAGCTTTTTCTAGGGTGTTTCACAATAATGGAGTTCTTAGAATTTCAGAAAAACATGTTTTTACTAGTTATATATAGTGCAAGATATCTTAGAATCATGGTGTATACTGATATTGAAAGTAATGATGTTTTATTTTTCAGGAAAAAGGCAAGTTGTTATCTCCATTTTATCAGAATATTCTTCTTCTAATGGACACATTATCAATGCGTTTCCATCTTTTATACTAATTGAAGTAACAGATAACATAAGGTGATACTGCACAGTATATTTTATGTGATTAAGTTGTTACATTTTATACAAGAATTTTTATTACATATTCTGGTATTAGTTGTTTATATCTACTTTGGAATGACAAATTATCATCAAATAAACATAATTGCAGCTTTCGTGACGCTTTCTCTACAGGCGTGATTTTTTCAGAATACCTGCTATGCAATGTTTCCTAGATAAAGTATTGTCTAAAGCTCAGATGCGGAGAAGTAACTGACTTTGTTCCTCAGACAACTAACATTACAAATACATTTGATATAATAACCAAATGTTCAGTTAGTTATCATCACACTGATTTCTTTTAAATCTTGGATTATTGAAACTAGAGTTCAGACAATTGATTGAATTTTGGAAATTTCATGTATGTTGAATGGCTTACGTACTTCATCTGACACATACAATGGACTTAATTTTTGTGAAGTTACATTGACATTCACTGGGAGTTAAGTACAAAACCTTATCAAATTGGAAGATGAATGGGTCTGATTTTATGTGCATCTATCAGTATCTAGTTCTGTTGAACGACACTATAAATACTCAAAATGCATCTACTAATACAATATTTGACCTCACGTTTGGTTGGTGATGAACCTAACTTGGTGTTTAGAGGAGAGATTCATGGAAAGTGGGAATTCCAATTCCAACATCGATTTATTTGAGCTAAATCAAAGTTGTATAATATGAAAATCAAATGAAATGTCGATAAGCTCATTGATCATGAGTTGTTCAGATAATTAGGGAATTGTCGAAACTAGAAACAAGAATATTGACTAGTTAACAGTGTGGAAGCTAAATAGGATTAGGGAATTGAAAAGTCCAGGGATGGAGCCTATT